TGAATTTTGTGGGTTATCTCTGTCTATTATTTAATTAATATAAATTTTAAATTGATGATCTGGAACATTGAAGTGTGACAAATATGCAAAAACAGAAGACCTAAGGACAAATACTTTTTTTTTTTTTTACAGCACTGTACTATCACTAAATGCAATGGTTGGTCTATTTATTGTCTGCACCACAGGTTGTTTGGAAGGAGTTCAAGAATGTCAAGACTTGAGCTTGAATGTCAGCTCTCCCACAAAACCAAACAGAACATACTTACTGGGTAAAGAAAGCAGAGTTGAATTTACTGACCCAAACAGGTTGAGCTTGAAAAAAATACAAAAGCTATATATCTGTGACATGTTTTAAAGGTTTACATCTCTAATAGAAATCTATTGAGTTTGAAACTAAGAACTACAAAAAGGGTAGGGAAGTCAGACAGTATTGAGCGACAGACTGGCACATTGGGTTGGCTCGCCATATGGGAGTTGCTGACAACAATAAAATACAGATAGCAGTCGGCTGTTACTACTTCTATTCATCCTCAGCTGAAGAAGTCTTTGGAAATGGCCTCCACAAAGTTGGGAGCAGACATGAGGATACCGATGGTGCAGAGAATAGTGAAGAGAGAGAACGCCACCAGACAGAGTCGGTCGATAACTGCTGCAGCAAACTTCCATTCACTGCAGACCATCTCCTCCTCATCCTGGCTGCGGAAACGCCTGGCGATGTATCTCACCTCCTCCAGGATTTGTTTCAGCTCTGCCTCCACAGTTGAACCCCCAATTGACCCCCCTCCACTTCCCCCAGCTCCGGTCCCACCTCCTGTTCTCAGCACATCCTCTTCACTGCCTCTCACTAGTCCTGAGCAGAGGAGTTCTGGTTCAGTAGGTGAGCCATAGTGTAACCCCTCCACACCCCGAAAGCCGACATAGAGTAGGTTGCCATTAGTTATTTGTGGGTGATGTCGCAGTGATCCCTGGCTGATGTTGAGTTCCAGGCTGGACAGGCTGGCACGCTGATTGTGACATGCCAGACGAACCTTGGCTTCACCAGGACGTCGCATCCGCAAGAACCAGGCACACCAGTTCAACAAAATCACACGGGTCTGAAGAAGAAGAAGCAGGGAAACAATGGTAATTAAAAGTTGTACCAAGTGCATATTCTCATGTTTACCTGTGTAAACAAAAAAATCATACCTACAATGATAACTAAAATCTGATGTCATTGTTATAATTTCATTTGTCTGAGAGATTTCCTAATGTCCTCCAAATGTCTTTTTTAGTTCTTGGGGTTTTGATTTTATGGTCGTGTAGTCAGGGAGAGACATCCGAGGTGTAGGGGAAGAGAGGGGGGTACATGAAACAAATCTAATAGCCCCTATTTATGGGGTGCCTGATCAACCAGTTGAGCTACCGGGGCAGTCTCCATTCACAATGTCCAATTCATATTCATTTTAAATTGAGTAAGCAACATTTATGTTTATGTTAAATTTATGTTAATATCTACCTGGGGGATCCCAAGGCATTCCTACACCAAACGGGATATATAATCCTTCCCAATGTAATCTTTGTCTACTCTGTGTTCTCCTCCCACTTAAGAGTGCGTCCACGATAGGACCAGGCGGGGGTTGCACAAGCCATCTCACCGATTTCAATGAAACTTTGAAGTAGTTTTGGGTGGACCCCTTTAAACTGGCAGTCTAAGTTTAAGGAAATTTGGTCAAACTGGGGGGATTTCACCAGCCCTCCTTGTTTTTTTTGCAAAAATGACCAAAAATCGCCTAAAAAATGGTCAGAAGTATAAAGCTCTACTGCTGTAAGAATTCAACCAAATCTTTTCATATTTTCAGTGAATGTTATCCTGCCCAAGGACAATCTATTGTCAACGTTTCGTTCTCCTACGACGAGTTCCATCACACAAATCATGTCAGCCAAGACCGCCTCTCTCACCCAACAGTGAAAACTGTTAAAATACCCGAAGTTTAGGCCGAAATATCTCTAATGCCCGAGCATGCTTCAAAAAACTGAGCATACCGTCTAAAAGGTGGGACTTCATACTAACATTATCTGCAAAAAAATCTTTGGGCACTCACTGAATTATTTTACAGGAGGACTGCCAACTTGTCTCCCACCGCAGGTTACCCGCTTCAGTTTTTTTTCATTATAATGTGTTGGTTCTGTAATTATGGTGTAGCAACAGACAGAAAATGCTGCAAAATGGTTACACACCATAAACTTTAATGAAATAGAACCATTTTGAAAGCTTTTGTTTTACCTTAGCCATAAAAATAAGAATCGGCAGCTTAAAAATGACCTCTGTTATTATACAAGTGAACTATGTGACGGGACTCACTCTTTGCTAAGTCAAACCAGGAGTCATAGAACACTATCAAAATGCTTCCTTTGTCTGTATTTGAACGTGAGAATGATTTTAGAATTTAAAAATTGGCTTTTGTTCGTCCAATAACGGAATAATACATTTGCTTGAAAGTTGCACGCCTGACATCGCATCTTGATACAGACAACTTTATCAAAAAGACTTTGTTCTACTGAAAATAAATTGATTCGCTTACGACTCAATTCTGGTTGCTTAACACGCCTAAAAAGGAGAAAAGCGTTTGGCTGTAAAACAATCCATTGTCAGTCCTGATAAACCAGAGGAGTTACAGCCTGATTCAAGCTGCGCTGCGTCGAGCGTAGAGGATTGGAAGTCACACGTTCTCTGTTCAGTTCACTAGGATGAGGCCAAGAGTACAATTATTGATAACCTGAAACCATTGCACATGCTGCTCATAGTGGACTGGGCCATGAAGTTCATTCCAACCAGTTTTTGGAAAACGCAGCACGACTGGTTTGGAAAGAAGGGGAAGTCCTGGCATCTGTTGGTGGCCATTACTAAAGCAGGAGATGGAACGATTGAGGTAGGAATCATGTGTCCCAGGGGGACTTGGAACCCATGTAGGTGGGTCACACCAGTCTGTCCCCCCAGGAGAAGCAATGGCGTCGCAACGCCAACGTATGCCTGTACTGTGGCAAGCCAGGCCACTTCATCGCCACCTGCTCGCTGCGTCCAGGAAAAGGAAGGGCTCACCAGTAGTTGGGGAGATACAGGTGAGCTGAACAACCATGGCCTCCCCACATAGTTTACAGTTGGCAGTCACCCTGTGTCTCCCATCCCAGTCCCTCACCATCCAGGCCCTGATTGATTCCGGAGCCGAGGAGAATTTCCTGGACCACCAACTAGCAGCTCGGACTTGACAGCACACCCCTGGAGACGCCGTTGGAGGTTCGGGGTCTCAACGGCGCCCGGCTCATCATGATTCGGCACCACAACGTCCCAGTCTCGGTGGTTCTGGCCAGGAACCACCGGGAAACCATCTCCTTCTTCCTGTTCAGTCAGTCCAGCGCTCCTGTTGTCCTTGGGTTCCCCTGGCTGCGGCTGCACAACCCCCATATAGACTGGCAGAGGGGTCAAATCATCCCCTGGGCTCCCCGTTGCCATGAAACCTGCCTACACTCCGCCCTTACGCCCGCAACCTCCGGAGAGACAACGGTCCCAAGGGCTGTCCAGTTGGATACCATTCCCCCGGTCTATCATGACCTGGCTGCCGTGTTCAGCAAAGAGGATGCCCTCTCTTTGCCACCGCACCACCCGTACGATTGTATGTCGACTTCCGCCCCTTAACAGCAAGACCATGAAAGAAACCTTCCCCTTGCCTCGTATTGAGGAGAGCTTGGATGCACTTTCTGGGGCCCGCTGGTTGTAGCCAGAGGATGTTTGGAGAACTCTGACCACCTCATGACCATGTCATGACCCCCCTGTGATACAGCGGCGTCATATCTAACAGCTCCTCTGGGAGGGGAGCTCGCTGTGATTGGTCAGTAGTTTTACTATTAAAAGGCATTTCAGACTGCAGATTTTCTGGACGCCATAGACTCTCCCACTTGGGTCCAATGTACCAACTTCAACTGCCACACTCTGATCCAACTCAAGCTGAAGGCCTCGTCTCCCAACTCCAGATGCTACTGCACCTGCCAAGGAAACTGCAAGTATCGAGCTTCTGTCTCTATACGGGTGTTTCATGATTACAATTGGCCTTTTGACCAATATTCCAAATTTAACAGATTATCTGCTGCTTCAGGTGAAAGGACTTTTAAGTCTCCAAGCCACCACTTTGTTCCACATTAGGTTTTTCACACTCATATTCTCAATCAGCATTTTCATCATTGTTTGTATTTTATATTTGTTGTTGTTACTTGTTTGTTTTAGTTAGCAATAAATGTTGTGTGTGTGTGTATACAGTTGTTTCCTCACTTTACGTATCAGATCTTTAGTTACCTGAAGCTCTAAGTTAGTTCCCTTAACTTTATAAAACACTGTTGACTGATCACCAAGAGTAAACAATTTATTCGAATTATGCCGACTCTGAGATTATATCGCTGGACGAATAATTCAAAAGTTGGTTTTAATAATTGTAGTTAATGCAATCACTTGCTTTGGTGTGGAAATAAGTATATCTTTTTTTCTATCCTACAACATCAACTTATGTTGGCACATTATCTTGAAATGCCAAGCATTTTCAAGCCTGAGACTGAGACAGCAAAGGTGTCTGATATGTGCCTCGAAGTCTTAGATACTACTGTCAAACAAGCCGTCTTGAATAGATTCGCTGATGTTGACACAGTAGGATTAACCCCTCACATCTTCCTAAATGGAACAAAGTATTTAAAGGAAATTATTCTTTCTGCTGGGAGCACAAGTGGAGCTTGCTTTGTTATTGAACATTTTATTGTGTACTATGTGCAGCATGCAGAGTTACCATCTGGTGAAAAAAAAATCCTGCTGTCTGTTGGTGAAACCTGAGGATGTGAATGACTACATGCTGCTGATGTCATACTTCATTCGGGGCTGCCTCCTGGTCACTTCTTACTGAAATAAACCTGCTGTAAGTAATACAAAGGCTTAACAATATTGAAAAATGTCTAATTGTGACCATTTTGACTGGTACTGCAAGTAAGAGGATTTACATTGAGACAGCGACATCTCGGATCAGGAGCAGTCGGAGGTAGAGAGCTACATTTCAGATGTGGACTCGCTTGCTGAGGACATGTTTTTTGCAAGGGAAGGATTCCGTTCTTGATAGGTAAGTGTAATTTTATTATTCTTTGGACATTATTATAGAAAAAAAAACATTATTGGGATGTGTCAATAATACTTGGTATAAATAGTAAGAGCTCACAACTGAGTCTGTGTAGTTGCAAGTAAACCACTGGCTGAGTTTTATGTTGAAGAAGGTGATGCTGAGCAAGTGATTATATTTTGTTAAACAAAATATTATTTGAATGTAATGTGCTGTAAGTCTATTGGAAATTGTATAAGACTACTTTGGCTGTAAGTACCGGTAGTAATGACAAAGTAAGAAAGTAAGTTGTGCATTGCAAGTTGTAAATTTTCTCACCCGTGGGGGGAGGGTGTCTGTGCCTTGGTAGCAGTAGGCTGCAATATGCATTACAGTAGTTGCAAAGTCGTGCTTGTTCTTACAAAGTATAGTACTGTAATCTTTTCTGTGTGTTTGTTTTTACATTTTAGATGTTCTTCAGCACCTGAACTGGAGCCTGAACCTGAACCTGAACCTGAACCTGAACCCAAACCTGGTCCAGCCAAAAATCCACATTTGGAGAAAAGAACAAGAGGCAGGGGACGGGGGAGAGGAAGAGGGAGAGGGAGAGGGAGAAGACATGGTGCCAGCCACACAAAACCTTCCCCCACAGAGGGGAGGTGGTGTGATATTGAGGTACTTGATATTACACCTACCCTGCCCCCCTTTTGTCCAGCACGACCTTCTGGATCCCAGCTTGTTAGCACTGCAAACTACACAGTTTTAGAACTGTTTCAGCAGTTTTTCACAAACACAGTTTTACTAACTGTGATAACAAACACAAACAAGCATGGAACAACTGCATATAACCCATGGGTGGACATTACAATCAACGACCTCTTTTGCTTTTTGTCAGTTGTCATTTATATGGGAATTGTAAAAGTACCATCTCTAACTGACTACTGGCGACAGGGGAGGTTGTACAGTTTGTCATTCCCAAAGTCTGTCATCGCTGGGAAAAAATTCCTGTCTATTCTCCATGCGCTTCACCTCAGCAGCCCAGCTGATGACACTGTGAATGAAAGAGCTAGGGGCACTGCTGCGTTTGACCGCCTGGGGAAAATAAAGCCGCTGTACACAGAGATCAGAAGTGCATGCCGCAACAACTATCACCCTGGCCAGCATATTGCCATCGATGAGCGGATGGTTACTTCGAAGGCTCGGACAATATTCAAACAGTATTTAAAAAGCAAGCCTGTTCGATGGGGCTTCAAGCTGTTTGTTCTGGCAGACTCAACAACAGGCTACACATGGGACTTCTTTGTCTACGAGGGCAAAAGCATGGAGGCCAGTAGAAATGGTTTAAGCTATGACTCAGTTATAAGCTTACTGAACACAGACTTACTGGACACAGGTGTGACGGCCCCACCTAGTCTGTTGGTTAGGCACATCGGCTGCCTGTGTTTGGCTCTGTTTCCTCAGGTCCCTAGACTGCTGGAGACTGAGTGGGCGATCCTACCTGCTTGGCAAGCTCGAGCCCAGCGCTCCCAGGCTATAAAAGGGCCAACCCCTCGGCTCCTGCTCTCTGTCTCTCCTCATGCCCGTGACTCGTGGTTTGTGTCATTTTGGTCTGGTTCTTACATCAGACAACACCTTGCACCACATAGCATCCAGGCATCCAGACATCCGCACCTACACTACTGACATCACTGACGTACACATCTCACTTTGAACAAATTAATTTAACCAGTTAGCAAAAGTTTACGTTAAAATCTGGCAATAACTGTGTCGTCTCCCCTCTCTTGCCATAACCTGTTTGCCGGGTTGTGACACAGGCTACAAGCTCTACGTGGACAATTTTTATGCCAGCCCAGCTGGTCTGTTTTGGGATCTCAGACAGAAAAACATTTCAGCTTGCGGCACCATCAGGACCAATAGACAAGGTTACCCCAGAACAACAATCAATGCCCTGGACCCCAAATCTCCCCGTGGCAGCATTCGATGGATTCGTGAAAACCCCCTGCTCTCTGTCCAATGGAAAGATATGCGTGACGTCTTTTTATGCTCCACCATGCACATGGCCCATGGAAAACAGACAGTGCAGCGCAGGGTAAAGGACGATGCAGGCCATTGGTCAATGAAAGATGTCCCCATCCCCCCAGCCATCAAAGACTACAACAGGTATGTATAATTTAGGATATATTTTTCCCTTTTGAAATAGTATTTGTATGATTCTAATATATATGTGATTTTTTTGTTTTAGGCAGATGGGTGGCGTTGACCTCTCGGATGCCCTAATTGGGTATTATGAAGCTGTACACAAAAGAAAAAAATGGTATAAGACTTTCTTTTACCATTTTTTGGACATCGCGATTGTCAATGGCTATATCCTCTACAAGGAGCAATGTGAAGTTAAAGCGAGCAATCCAATGCACCAGAAATTATCATCACCATCACAGCAGGATGAAAGCGGCATGCATCATCGCCTAGTATACATCAACACTAGCGGGGACAAAACTCAGGGCAGGCTGAGGTGCAGGAAGTGCCAAGCCAAAACCCCTGTAAAATGTTCAACATGTGACATCCCCTTCTGCTTTCTTCCCAAGAGAGACTGCTATAATGAATGGCACATAACAAACAACTTGTGAGTGTCATAATTCTATGAATATGTACATAGTTATGTATATGTATATAGTTTTGGTGTGAAATGTACAGTTTGTGTCTTTTAAAAATATATATTTACACTGGCCCATCACACTTGTTTTGTTTTGACAGTTTTTATATGAAAAACATATATTTTATTTTCTTATGATGAAATATGAATTTCTACAACTAATGGAATGACTCTGTGTCCAGATATGGATTCCTCTGGGTACAAGCTTTCAGTAGAGCCCTCATTGATGTCTGTAGGTTCAGGGATTCAAATGATATTGCACTTTTTCCATACATTTTCAGTGGTGTCCAATTTGGATAGATGTGGATAACACAAAGGTCCTGTATAAAAACACATGGACATACCAACATAAAAACTGGTGTCAGATTTTCAATTTTACAGATATTGTTTTCAAATTTGAAGTATGTGTACAAAACACGGAGTACGGGGTGCGGGGCCCTCTGTTAAGGGCTGTCCGCTCCCTTTACGACCGCAGCAGGAGTATGGTTTGCATTGCCGGCTATAAGTCAGACCTGTTCCCAGTGCGCGTTGGCCTCCGCCAGGGCTGCCCTTTGTCGCCGGTTCTGTTCATTATTTT